TAAGTGTTAGTGGAACAGACCTACGATCATTACGACATATAAATCGTGACACGAATTGTTCAAGCTTGCACGATTCCGTATGGTTCCATCAATCATTCGCGTAAGCGCGCATTAATAATCCACTATTAAATATGCATTGGTTGTTTGCGAACGAAGCGTTATTCTCTCTTTGCTCACGCTCTCTATTTCACTGTGCTCGATTTCAGTCAGGCTTTGTATGCCAGCTGCCAGTCACTAATTGTTTACGTAAAATGTTCCGATTTTGAAATTGGGACATGGGTAACCATCGACTTTTCAGCTTGTCTATGTCATCAATTTATATGGATAATCATGTATAATATGCAGAATATTTGTCAGTCTAAAAAGATAAAAATTCTTTTTCTTTATTTTCGTTAAATTTTAATAAGTTATACTCGCAATATATATTATTGATAACATTTTACTTTTTACAGTAATTATATTTTATATAAAATCTATATTTTCTTATTCTTTATCTTTTATAAAATTATCAATTGTTTGTTATTTAATAATTTTATGTTAGAAATATCTTTTCGTGGTCAATATGATTTCGTAAACGCCCAACCAGTAACGTATAAAAAATTCAGCAGTTATTGCCAGATTTCTACTTCATATTGGGATATGTGGTAGCATTTCTGAAAGCGGAAATAAATTTAAAGCTCCATTACGCGAATACAGAATGCCAGATCTGTGGGGTCGCGAGAAGGAGATAAATCTTTTCTGGCCGAAGCGGTAATGGAAAAACATTCGGTGGCATCGGCTGTCACTGTTATCCTTCCAAGCGATGGTGTTGCCAACGCGGTTGCACGGACTAGGCTAGAGTGGATATACGAAGGAAAACAACAATCCGTTCCGTCGCAGAAGTACGTGCGTTTGTATACCGTCGCAGAAAATAGGTCAGTCGAAGTCCAATGATTTGGCGCGATTTCGCCTGTTTCCGCGGTGGGCGATCTCTTGGTGGATGCTCTTGCGACGAAAACACGACGATTCTCGACCGGATGATAATCCACGACGTTTCCAATTCCGGAAGGTTGCCAAGGAATCCTTCTATCTACGATAGTCGCGTCTCGATGTGAGATATCACGGATCGATAAATAGTGCTCTTTGCGAAATCCTTGAACAGATATTTTCGACGATAGCCATTAATTACTCGATTGATATAATCGCAACCTTTACCATTTTCCGTGATACCAATTGAAGTGGAACCAAATTTATAGTATATTCCTGATAAAATTTTATTTGCTTTCAAATAAAACTATATATAAAAGCCGAAATAAAGATATACAGATAAGAAACCAATTTTGTAAACAAATATTATTAAAGAGATAGCTCTTGAATTTGAAAATTTTGGCCATTCAGAAAATTTCTGAACTATTTAAAATGCGAATTACAAAATGTGTGCGAGCCATTTTTATATATAGAATAATTCATTATCAAAGATTTTTTATTATTTCAAAATCAGTTTGCATAAAAGTCGATTTAGCCAAAGTCATTTCTGTTATTGACTTACCTTACTTCCGATTAAATTCGCTCGTTTATTTATCAAGCACTTAGATTTATTTTTACTTTAACAAATTAATGTGATATTATAATATTCTGTCATACTTTCACTGCAAAATAATTGCTATTCGATAATTACAATCGTTAGGCTTAAATACTGAAGCTAGCTTAAGGATGATGAAGACTTGAATGAAGATGGCGCGGCGTAATTGGGATTCCGGATCAAGCTTGGTCCGGGTGAAGCAAAAAGGGTGTTCTTCCCGTTGTAGAGAAAGGGAGAAGGGGCTTGGTGCGCGGCACTGATCTAAGAGTGAGCGAGGGTGGCGACGATTCTAGCCGCGGTGGGCTGGCGAGGGTGGCGGCGTAGGAGGATTTGGAGCTCTGCCACGTCGGGAGCACCCTTTTGCTCGAGAGCTCTACTGCGATCACCGATACCACACTATAGTACCTCCGCGGTTGGTACTCATAGGGATTTGGAGGAGGCCAGAGAGAAGCGTGGCCCACTCGAGGAGGAAACAGGTGGAACGACCGAGGCTTCGCTCGCCGGAAGAGCGTAAATATTGATAATCCCTCTGACTAACGTATAACTACTCGTTTATCATCTTTGTTGCATATATATTGCATATATAGTATCACGAATTAAAACTGTTTTGACACCAGCGGTTGTTCCGCTGTAAATAATGTCATTCGATACTTAGGCGCAAGTTTTATCAAAATGTCTAATAACTCAAAAATGATAGAATTGATTAATTATATGCATATATGTCAAGTATATATGTCTCGTTAGACAAATCAAATATACAGAGAACATCGATAATGTCGCAGGTGGTCAATGTCACCAAGAGTCCCCTACATTCTTACAATGATACAAGTTGAACTCATGTCTTCATTGCCGTTTGTGATTATTTATGAATCCATATTCGTGATTATTGGAATATAAATGCGGTTGTGTGTAGAAAGCCTTCACTGTCTGACCTCGAAACAGACTGTTTCTTACATGGCTTATTATAATGTGAAAATAAAGCATATATATAAAACTTGTCGTTACATTAAGTATAGTTTTCATTCAGAAAATTAAGCGACAGCGATATAAGTATATAACCGATTCACTTCATGATAGATAATGTTTTCATATATAATATATAAAGCAATAAATATCTTTTTACAATAAATAAGAACTCTTACTAAGAATTTTCTTGCTTAAGATATTCGGAATAAGACAAAACAGAATATGTCTTCAGCATTATTATTTAAAAATGTTAGAATTAAAAAAAATATTTATAATTAACTCTGCACGTTTTACTATTTAAGAAAATGTTTAAATGCATTGCGTTTATACGTTTAAAATTAATTATTGATGCGATTCCTAAAAGATATTACATTGATAGTAACATTTCAGTAGTAAAGAAATATATCGCGTCGGCCAGGAAAGAGTTCGAATGAATACAGTCGTCGGTCGCGAGTATAGCGCGTCGAATATTTCGTGCAAAGTGATCGATAGCGCTGGCTCGTGCTGCAGATATCTTTGTCGGCCACATTTGCGGATTATTAATATATACTCGTGAATCGCGATCAATGGATGAGCGGGTGTCGACCAATTCCAACGTCGACATTGTTTGTGCTT